TAACACACAAGGGAGCTACACTTGTGATGACAAACTTCCAATGTAGAATTGGTCAGTGGTACCCATGCTTCCGACCCTGCAAAAACTCAAAATCGTCCACATATACAATATAATAAAGATTAAGTAAGTGCATATATATATCATCCACAACATAATAATAGTATTATTAATATTAGTAAAATGTAACCATCATCGATCAACTATATATTATAATATTGTTTAAAAGCTAGGAACATAGACGACAGAGATTTATATATATTAGTCTCCGATCCGATCTTTGATAATTAAGCTTCCTTGCCTGAAAATTAATTAAGAAAAGAAAAAAAAACAAATAGTGCTTATAATTACATGCATGCAAGGGATGGGAGTATAGTATATATTAATACTCCCTCCGTTTCACAAAGAATGACCTCCTTTCCTTTTTAGTCAGTTTCAAAAAAATGACCTATTTCCTTTTTTGGTAACATTTTACTTTTTGCTTTCCACGTGGCATGTTTAAAACCACAAGATTAAGGGCAATTTTGTACATTTGACATAACTTTAATTTAGGACCACAAGATTCAAAAGTTTTCTTTAATTTCTTAAGCTTCGTGCCAAGTCAAACCAGACCAATCTTTTTGAAACGGAGGGAGTAATATTTTACGTACGTACCCTATTTTGGAAATATGAGATTTTGATCGTCTACTCTACCACAGCCTCTTGTGGCTGTACTTTTGGGGCAAGATATGAATGTGTTGAGCGATTTGTCCAAACAGAAGTGAATTTGCTTCAAGAAGAAGACGTAAGAAGAAGTAGCCCGCTGATGATCACATGAGATGTAAACATCAATATTTTTATCTTTTAACACTTGTTCAGAGATAAATGTCTTCATACCCGTTACAGTGTAAGCACGATGATTTTTCGGACCCATATCACCCTTCTCTAACGTTTTAAGCATATCTTTCAGTCGTCTCGCAAATGTTATCGCCCCATTAAAATATTGAACATCTGGGACGATTTCTGATGTGCAATAACCATGCTTGTCCCACTCATGCTTCCATAAGTTTTCGTCAGTCCAGTGAACCTCCAAAGAAGGCCAATACAACCCCAAGAAATTCTTTAGGCTCCTGTCATTTAACCACTGTATAGTATAGAATTAGAATTATATATTATATAGAAATAATAAAATTATACATTCATGCATATGTACCACTTTTTCGACCGTCGTTGGATTTGAAGGATCATTACACGTAAAAGGAGTGTGACCTGTAGCATTTCCTGGCCAAAGGCCATGGATTGAGAAATCTGACATTTTTACGGAGGGCTTGCAATTTTTATCTGGCCTCCCACAAAAGGTTGGAGGCCATTGCATAATCATCTGCATATGATGGTAATTAGTTATTGGTGGTTTAGTAATTAATTCAGACGATGCACTCATAATTATTATTATTATAACAATAGCAAATAACATCGTCAAGTACTCCATATTTTATCTATCTATCGATATGCATCTCTCACTCATCACGACCCACCTATTTATATATACTAACATTATCAACTCGATCTTAAATACAAATTTTTTTACCAAAGTAAGCCATTATTAAAATCAATTCACCAAATAATACATTTTTTGAAATTTTACAAAACTAGTATAAACGTAGTTCGCAGTAACGTTTTAGGTTATATTTTATTCAAAAATATTCAATGACAAAAAGAAAAAAATCTGACAGATTAAACAAACATAAAACGTTATTGTCAGTAACGTTTTATAATTTGTTATTGTGAAGCATGTTTTACAGCTAAAACGTGACTCACAGTAACGTTTCTCTGGAATGGCTGAAAATTGAAATTCAGTCTTGTACATGCCTCATTCATTATTCAATTTTCCACTATTAAATAGATAGATATATTTTGTACATACCTTCACTAGAAATATATATGATTTGTCTTTTCTTTCTCTTTTCTACATAGACAATATTTTTTAAAACAAATTATATGAGAGATCTTCTTTTAGCCTAAGATATCATCCTTCCAAATATTAGATCATTCGATTTCTTATGATTATTAATTATTAGACTATCAATAAAGAAACTATTGAATTAAATTGATGTAATAAGTAAGTTACATCCAAACTTATAGTCTATTTATAGGGCACTTTTTGTACAAGGATGAAATTTTCATCCTTATTAACCCCCATAGAGGAAGGACTATCTTCCATTCCTTGTACGATTTCTTGTTTGTATTTATATATTATTACTGAAATGTAAAAAAAAAGAACAATGAAACTATAAATGACATTTTCTGATTTTGTTTATGTATACTAGATTTAAGTTGTGATGTTTTTTGTATGAACATTATTTTGTTCATAATACGTAATCATTTTTGTGAATCTCATATAATGTTAGGACAAACAAGACGAGACTTTTTGAATTTCGTCATCCGGGCCTGAAGTCAGATCCAAAGTGTGGTGGTTGTGGGGTTTACTATTATAAAGAGAGCTTAGTAGCAATTAAACGACAAGGGAATAGTGAGCTCCATCTCAGTCGTTGTTTGACAAAAGTGTCGGCCAGATATTAAATTTCAATAAGAGTTTTAAGCATGCATATTGGATAACATTTACTACATGTTATTTATTTATGGTTCATTCTAGCTTTAATTATGTGCAATATGAGATTATCATGTGTAACAGTAGTGTTATTATACTCTTAAGTTGTTGGTGATTGAGATTGAGAATGTGTGTTGTTGTGCATATGCCCATATAGAAATGAGAATGTGTGTTGTTGCGCATATGCCCATATAGGACTGAGAATGTGTGTTGTTGTGTGTATGCCCATATAGGACTGAGAATGTGTGTTGTTGGGTTTGACTAATACTAACTTGTAATGAACAAAAATAAGTAAATGACGACTTAAATATAATTTATTTACTAAAAAATACAAATATTTTGTATCCCACTTCATACTAAGTGGAAAATTATAGCAGTAGCCCCAAAATCTATTATTATACCAACTTTAATAACATTGTATCGAGTATGATTACGTTTAAGAAATTATCTTTATTCGATATGCATACACTAATGTGTTATGTCACATGATCACAAATTCCGTGAGAATTCATAGCTTTTCAATCCAAGTGCGTCTTGTAGGGATCATTATCTCAATCGGCAAATTATAGGTTGAGAAACTTCACTATAGCATCAAGAGAACTATTTTTTGTATATTTATTGTAAATAATTGTTGTTGTTGTACATAACAGCTAGGGCTTCCTTGCGATTGTATAAATATGTTGTCATTTTCCTGCACAATGAAAATAGAAACAATTATAGTGTACGTGATGATGACAATTATTCAATTAAAAAAAAAAATACTCTACTATGAGTATTTGTTTGTAATAATAAATAAAAACTTTCCTTTCCCTTGATGTACGACGTCGTTGATCCTAATTAATTTGGTTTCCTGTTTTGAAAATCAATTGATCGATATATACATATATTCCCACGTACGTCTTTAATTTGACGACATGAGCAAATAAAATTATTCATCCACATTATATATATAATTTAAGTAAGTGCATCATCCACAACATAATAATAATATTTTAAAGGAACGTAGACTCATCCACAACATAATATATGGAGTAATAATATCGTTTTAAAAGGAACATAGATGATATATATTAGCTACTCTCCGATAAGCGAGCTTCCTTGATCAGTGATAAATTGTCTGAAAATAAAAGAAAATAATAATTAATTAATTAGATGCATGCAATTAGGGAGGGTATTCCTTGATCATTGATAAATTTCTTTGTTTCCCCCGTTCTCCCTTCTTACTGCTCGATCATGATGATACTTAGAAGCAATTAATAAATGTATCAATGCATATATTGAGACGGACTCTCCAAAGAGAGGCCCGAGCGGAATGAAGTTGTGCTAAATGAACGAGTTGTCCTAAATGCCACTTGTTAGTTGTCGCAGGAAGTGGTGAGGGCTCAGGAAGTGAAGGAATTTATCGGTCTATATTTTGATATCAATAAGATACATATGAAACACGCTTGAAAGACCGCTGAATTTAGGAATCTTCGTTAACGGTCAATAATAAGATCCATTCAAATAATTAGTAGTGATAAATAAGCTTTCTTGAGAATCAGTTTCGTCTAGGTTATGTTTGAATATTTTCAATGAATCCCTAGAACATGAGTAGAATGCAGATCAATTAACTAGTATAGTACTAACATGACTTTATTCAAAAATTATTCTTTTGGCAAATTGCTCACATTTCTACTTATTTATTTCCTTCTCTTTAGAGCTATTCTTTTTTTTAGATCTACATGACTAAAATGTAGAATATAACTAAGTATTAATAAAATTAGTGAGACTAATGTGGTACAAAATCTACTATACTAGTATAAATAACAATTACCATTAAGTTAAAGGACTACAATTTTAAATGGCGAACTTTTCATTTATTTATCAATTATTATTTTTTGCGTGTTCTTGAATGGAAATATCGAGGCTGTATATGGATACCAATGATAATGGCGGGGATTTTCTCGAATATTCAATCAGGAAAGTCTTACTTAGATCGTCTGCAAAGTAATTATTTAGGTTCAAATCCGTCTGCAAAAATTGGTACACTCTTATCAAAAACTGTAGTTACATACTAATTGGTACACTCTACTTAGATACTAATGCTAATTGCCTAAAAATAATGAATGTAACTAATTCTCATTCTGAAAGCAACGACTGCATTACATACCCAATAACATAGTGGGGTTGGTGAATTCTTGAATATAAGTGATCGTCCATCAATAACATTCTTTCTTTTCTTTTTTTATATGAAAAATAATAGGCAAAAGGGTCCAGTGGACCCTTGTACTTGTTTGCGTTTGTATTATGAACCCTTCTACTTAATGTTTTATCAACTGAACCCTTAAACTTAATAGATCGCGATATATTGAACCCCTCTGACCGTTGACCAAGCATATGTGGCATTAAAATGACTGAGTTGGCAAGAGTGTGTGATTACACTCGCGTGTAAGCAAGTAAACATCATATCTGAATTAAAAAGAGTTATTAAAATTACAAAAAAAAAGTAATAATAATTTTTTTTGACAAAAAAAAAATCTTCTTCTTCCCAATTTCACCTTTTTCCAGATAACCCAATCCCTGCCCCTAATCCCTTATCTCTTTCTTCTCTACACTCTAGCAGAGATCTTGACACTAATCCATTTTTTCGCTAGTATGGGAGGCGGCGAGGAGGTTCGTTGGTGGCCGAAGAGAATCGAGAGGAGAAGCAGTCTTGGTTTGCTGGTGGTGCGGTGAAAGGAAGACAATGGAGGAGACAAGGTGGGTGAGGGTGAGAGGAGTTGGTCACGACGGCGAAAAGGTTTGCCGGCCAAAGCTGGTAATGCGGCGACCTAGGGTTGCTGATTTTGTGAGATTGAAAAAAGGAGGAAAGGAAAATGGTGAGTGTGTGCGGCGGAGATAGAGACGGGTGTGTGAGAGAGAGAATAGACTGTGCTAGCAAGAAGAATGGCGGCGACGACTTTCTAATCTGGTGCTTGAGGCTATTTCACGGCGGAAATAGGAGGGGGAGAAGAAGATGGCGGGTGATTTGGTGCCTGGAATCCCAAAATTTATTTTAATGAATAAATTAAAATTTTATTATTTTTCCTTTTATTTAATATTTTTGATTAATAATTAAAAAATATAGTTAATGGAGATAATTATGACATGTCATTGATTTATGTGACATGGATTTGACATGTCATCTATTTATGGGCGAGTGAATTACACACATGGTAAGAGAGGTTTAAAAAACTTATTTTGATTGACTTTAAGGGTTCAGTTGGTAAGTAGTTAAGTAGAAGGGTCTACAATACAAATTCAAACAAGTATAAGGGTCTACCAAACCATTTCGCCAAAATAATAAAGAAGTAAGATGTCGATTAGAAAAGTTACTGTAGATGAATGAGATAACAAGTTAATATTAAAAGTGGCTAGAGTTTTCCTTTACTTCTCTTTTCAGCTGCCTCGACGACTATCTTAACATTAACAATGCAAGAGCTATAAGGAACATTTTATATCTAACAATGTCAATAACAGATGCAGCACAATGCAACATTCATTAAAAGATACTTAGGATGAGCCACTTTAATAAAAAATAATAATATTAAAATGCTCACAATCACCAACAACTTAATTATAGAGTATACAAACAAAAATACTCTCATATTGCACCTAATTAAATAGGTTACAAGCTAGAATGAATCATAAATAAATTTTAAAAAACCTGTAAATGTTATCCAATATGC